CTCGACCTTGACCTGATTGGATCAAGGGTTCGAGGACAACCCATCCCGAATATATTAACATGAATCATATAAAAATAAAATTAATTCACTAATATAAAATCGTCATGATTGTTAAAAGGCTTTTCCCAACTAATTCCCATCCCTACTCACTAACACATTTAGATCGTCATTGGAATGGTTTCGGGTGACGCTAGGACCCGATTGGAATAGGGGTTGGGGTTGAAATAGTTTTTTTTATTTTTTTCAAGATTTAAACCCGGGTGCGAGTCTAGTCAAAGTCCAAAAGACTTGGAACCAATCCTAGGTAGGGTCATCTAGTGGGGACCCGACCTAGATCCGAGCGGACCATCACATCTCTCTCTTAGTTGCAAACCTTGAGTATTTCGGGAGTGATAACGTTTGGACCCTGTGAGGAGAAAGCTGCCATTACAGGAGCCGGGGTGGAACCCAGGTACGTTTTTGGACGTGTGATATATGCCATAGGATTCCTGCAATAAATAGATCAAAACTTTTATTCCCCATTAACAGTAAAAAGTTTATTGGGAAATTGTGACTATAGAGTATAGACCTTAGCTTTTAGAAAACACCATAAACTACCACGCAAAATAGAACAATATTGTATTATTTTATTTAAAAGAACATACTACAAATCACCAATTTCACAAAAATCAAACAATGAAAAATGTACTATAACATACCGCACTAAATACCAATAATTTTGTGTTATTTTATACAAAAGAACACACTACAAAATACCCAATTTCACCAAATCAATAAGGGAAAAATACTCATGCTATTTGTCACAAAAACCACATAAACATTTTAATAATTAAAATTATCAATTTTAAAACAAATTTACCAAAATGAAGAAAGAATCGGATTTTTTCTTGATATTTACTTGGTGGAGTTTATGTAGCTGAAAACTTGTGCGCCATCAGATAGAGTGAGGTGGGCTGCAGGGAGCACATGTGCGTCGGCTATAACTTCGTTTCCAGAGTCCGGATCATTGCATAGGATCATCCCGACGCCTCCAGCTTGCTTCACTGCCTCCCCTTTCTCGACCCTGGCATTATCACCCCGAAGGCAAGCAACAATTTTACCCTTTGTCTTTGTTGGATCAAGCGAGCCAATTAAGCAGTTCCGCCTGTAAAATTCCATGTATCATGCATTAATAAGGCCCAAACACTATATTGACATGGTGAGAGATGTATATGAAAGAGATGGTGAGACATATATATATGAAAGAGACTAAAGGCCAAAGAATAAAAAATCAAGATTTTAAAAACTTAAAAATATAAAATTTATGCAAGACTTTGAGAAACGGAATACAAGTTGTTCTTCTATACTTACGCATTCAGAAGACTAAAATTTGATCGGGGATTTAAGATATCAGCACCGGAGATCAGAGGATAAAACTTCTCCTGTGGCAATGCACTTGAAAGGCTTTCGCCCTGTACAAAATTTCAAATCAGAAATTTAGGCCACCAAAAGTTGCATGTAGAGATTATATGAATTTGAATGAAATCTAAGATTCTAATTTTAGAGAAGAGGGAAATGTTTCACTATGGAAGCCATTCTCTTATGGTAGATATCAGTGGTTTTAAACAAGGACTCGGGTTGGGATTTGCTATGCTCTTAAGCCGTTTGTCTGACAAACTCAATGGATTCTGTCAAAGGTTCGGCGGAGTTTCGAAAAGAAAAAGACTAAAATATTGTTTCTGACTTCCAGATTTTTGATATATTGGGTCCCCAACTCAAAGAAAAAAAATATCTTCTAGAAGTAATATTGAGCTGATCTACACTAAGTTTCCTTGATCTTGGGTAATGGCATAATCAAGACCATTCCAATGCGGATGGATGGTGTAACTCACGTTTTTTAAGATTAAATTTTTATATGAGTATAAGAGATCATTTATCTTTTGTATGTAGAGGTTATAATCATCCCCACTTATTAGATATTAAATTGGCTGGCTTGGAGTGAGTTATGAAATATTGAATTTTTTTTTTTTTTGAACTTTGTGTCTATTCATTGATACCTTCACAACCAATTATTTCGAAATTTAAGTGATAAGAATGATAGTGACTACCACATTTTTTATGGCTGCCGTCCATCAGCAGTAGAAAGAAACCCTTTGCAGCCTAACTATTCATACTCTGTTGTGAATCACGATTAATAACTGAGAAAGAATGATATGATCCATTTTGAACGTGACGTACGTGAAAACTTCACATATGTGGTCATAAGGATCAAAGTTGTCAATCCCTTCAATGGGATGAAGGTTGTGACCATCTATTTTGAATAAAACCTACATCTAGGATAGAGAATATCAGTTAAATGTGAGAAATTTTGTGAATTCCTGACGAAAAATTTGACATATCTAAGTGCAGCACGAACCTTTAAATGCTTGCCACCAATGGAAACATAAGTTGGGAATTCGCGATCGAGAGTGCTCGCACCAACAGTGAGAATCCACGGTGCGATGTTGGTCGCAGAGCCAGGTTTGGGACCCGAGTTCCCAGCCGAGCAAATGACAGAAATGCCTTTCGAAACAGCATGAAAGGCTGCGATGGCGATACCATCCTCAAGAAATGGATAGGGGCGGTCGCCCCCAAGAGAGACAGAGAGCACGTCGACGCCATCATGGATGGCAGCTTCAGAGGCGGCAAGGATGTCTGAGTCGAAGCACCCACCACTGATCTGTTCAGTTGTGGGCCAACAAACCTGTTGAAAACCAAAGAAGATATATCATCAAATTTGCAACAGACGCTATATTTTTTTATATGATATGATGATTTATCATCAATAGAAGCACACTGGATGCACATAAGAGGAGGGAGTGAGAAAACTATTTTTTTATCATAGTCCGAAGGACTATGGAAAACAAAGGCTCTTGGTGTCATTACCATCTATGAATGGGGTCATGCACTGTTTGATCTCAATGTCTTTCCATCATTGTCCATTTGAAAGGTAATTGTTGGGATCGATCGGTGAAAAAAACAAATGAATTTATCACATGGACAACTATTGTGTATTCAAATCAACATAAATAAGTAATGGAAATAACATGGCATCAAAAGAACATCATGAAACGAAAAATACAGTAACATATATTCAAATAGCATAAAGATTTAATGTGGTTCAGTCACAAAATGTGACCTTTAGTTTTAACTCTCTCTAAACATGACCCAAAACATAGTTCAAACACAGTAGTAAAGTATACTTTATCTCTTTAAAACAGGGCTCGCAACAGGGTCTCAAAACACCCAAGTTTATGCCCAAAAATCTCTACTTTCTCTCTCTACAAAGTAGGGAAAACCAGGGCCACTGGTATCCACCATGTGTGTGCTCTCATTTTCTTTATTTCTCACACTTTCTTTTTCTGAACAAAAAGGTTTTAATGATAGATAAAAAGTTCTTACAACATTACAATGGATTTGAAGCAATCCAATGGCTCAAAATGATAGGTAAAACGTAAAAAGAGTCACTTAGGTGATTTGGCTTCATACATATAAGAGTAATGATAATAAAAAACCTTAATTTTACTATGTTCTTGGGTATTATATTATAATTTCCTATAAGATAGAAAACTACCCTTAAAATAAAAAATAGAAAAGGGGAGTTTCTCTGGCAATCAAGTAAACCCCATAAGATACTATAGTCTAGTGTAATAGAGCACCCTCAAATTAATAAGATAAACATCGAACCAGTGGCTATATTTTCTAGGCAGCTAAGCACCGGGATTTGAACCCGGGACTTGATGCTTTAAGAGAAATGTGTGGGTCATCATCACCGCATAATGGGCGGGTTCGATGGTGATGTAAAGCCGATGGGGGCGGCTGGGTTCGATGGTGATGTAAAGCCGAAGGGGGTGGCTGAATGCGATATGATGCATTTCATCTCCATCACTATCCAACCCATTGAGCAGAAGGTGATATTTTGTACAGGTGGTCAGGTCGAAGATTATGGGGACAAAATTAATTAAATCTCCTTGTTCTAGATTTGAGAGAGAGAGGAAGAAGAAGAAAACCTTGTAAGCAGCAACACGAGCACCGGGGGCGCCGCCCTTAGCGGTGCCGGAGGCATAACCAAAAATGCTGGCATTGGGGACGAAGGACCCCGCCGCAGTTGAGAGTGTGTGTGTCCCGTGGCCCTCGAAATCGCGAGGGGAGTTGGGAGCAAGGGGAGCACTTTCATTCACCATCCCAACGAATGCATTGTACCCTTTGTTGAAGTACCGGGCCCCAATCAACTTCCTAAGCAAAATATCAATTAACCTTTTTCATTGATGAAAGTTACATATGGAATTTCAAAATTCTTAAAACTAAGAAAATTGTCAAAAATTTCCTTTATGTTTTAACGACTTTAAAATGAAAAATTTCAAATTGGTGCTATTTGTGTATTACTACATATTCCCAAATACAAAGATATACAAAATGAAAAATAATGAACGACAAATTATTTAGAAAACCCTCAAGGTAATTGAAAATAGCAAAATAGTACACCCCCAAAATAGATTTTCCGGATCCACCTTAATATTTTTAATGAAATAAAAGCGCCCTTCAAAAAATTAATTGATTTTTAATATAAAAACAAAAGAAAAAAAACGAAGGAAAAGCATTTGTCTTATTTGTAACAGAAAAAGTAGAAGCATCAAAACTGACCTGTTACATTTCACTGGGAGAATTTGGGGGTCATCATTTATGCAGATTCCCTTCCACTTTGAGGGCACTGGTCCCATCCCTTCATCTCTAAAACTCTCAGACTCAGGCCACACACCTGCAAAAATTTGTTTAAAAATCAGATGAAATTTCACGAAATCAAGGACAAATCTCAGAGACTTCCACGACTTGAGCGATTCGGGTACTTAGGCCCGGAATTGCCGGCCTCCCCTTCCGGTCCAACTTGGGACCGACCCGGGTCAGGCAGACAATGTTGTTTTTAAACACTACTACCTAGATAAGCGTCTCTATTTTTTTTAGCCCGTAAAGATGCTTTTTAGTGGCATAGATCAAATTTTAATGTCAAATTTTCGGGAAAGGCAGCCATTTTTTTAAACAAACTTCTAGACTAAAACGAATTTCTCAGCATTGCAAAATTTCTTAGCACTGCAAGTTAGAAAATTCGTATAAAACTATGACTTTCGATATAAATTATTGTTTCAAATCAAGGTTACAAAGATAGAGAAAAAGGAAATTGTTGTGAAAGATTTAAATGTATCCTTTATATTATTAACCCATAACCAATGCCACTCGACACCACCTCCCAATCTACCCAACTTATCATCTCATACCCCCTCTCTCTCTCACACACTCACACTCACACTCACACTCACATACATACACATACATTGTACCCATGTTATCATCTCTTCCACCATTCTTACACACACATACTACCACCCATGTGTCTGTATCCAAATTATTATCTCATGCCTTCTCTCTCTATAATCAATTATAGTGACACATTATTGAGGGATAGATAGGAGGAGCCCATTTCCCCTCATTCTCTCTCTCCTTCGTACTCTCGGTACAAATGATACTATATTAATTAGGATCTTTTAAAAATTATAATTACTTATATTGGATCGTAGACTTCAAGATATTTAATTTAGGGAAAATTACACATATATTCATTATATTTTAAGTTATTACGGATGTGTCGAATAATTTTCATTATTACATGTCTGTCCATTTTTTGCTTGTCATAACACAAATTTTTTAAAATACGACTTTACCCTTTATCGAGTGTTGAAAAGCCGAATTGAAGGGTTTTTCGGATATTCAACATCCAAATTCAATGTATTTTTGGTTGTTCAATATCCGAAAATGTGATATTTTCGGATGTTTAACATCCGAAAATATGACTGCCAAATTCCCGAAACCATTTTCGCAATATTTTGCAATCATATTTTCGGATGTTGGACATCCAAAATTCTAGAGACTCTGAAAGTGGGAATGTGAACGTTAAACTTTCGGGCTATTTTCGGATGTTAAACATCCGAAAAACCATTCAATTCGATTGTTCAACACCCGAAAAAGGGTAAAAACAGACAGACATGTAATAACATACATGTAATAACAGAAACTATTTGGTACGTCCATAATAACGCAAAGTATAACAGACATGTATGCAATTTTCCCTTGAATTTATAAACAAAGTATTATAATGAAAATCATATGGATATGATTAATGGAGCCACAAGGATAGGCAAGTATCATAGAATAAGAATTTTAATTAGAAAGTAATTTAATTTTAGAAACCAGTTAGTTTTTGCAAGTGTCTTGCATGAATATATATAAAAAAGGAGCAAAAATAGAAATTCGATGAAAACAGTCCAAAGTCTCAAAACTGTTGAAAGAAGGTTTCTAAATGTGCATTCCTTTTTTATATATATAAATTAATCCAATGATTTTATAAACTTTTAGATTAAAAAATTAATACAAAATGTAAGAAACAAATAAACACGTACATTTGATATAATTGTGTTTGATTAGGAATGAAAAATACATGAGATTAAAGCTTAGAATACTTAAACATGATGAAAATACATGAAATTAAAAAGGAAATCTGAGGGAAACAATATCTTAATAGTTCTTAAAAAGATTGAAAAGTTAATGTGCACAGTGTTACTTTCTGAATTCTGAGAAACATACCTGAGTCTAAGTTTGCAACTATGACATCTCTGCCAAAATTGCTTTGGTGCCATAACGATTTCATGGGAATACGGCCATCGCGTTCCAATCGCATAAAGTTCCAAGAATGAGTCGTATGTAACTCCCGGAGTTTATCCGGAAACACCGATACGACACCGGGATGTTCTAAAAAAGAACAACAAAAAAAAGAAAAATACATTCAAATGAACACAAACTATTTGATTGAAACCGAAAAGCCGATGAAAAATAATAAGAATGAAATGAAGGAATTATAATTACTTGATATTTCCAAAGCTTCTTCCTCTTCAAGATTAGCAGCAAAACCATTCACATTAAGAGTATAGGAATAGAAGATGGCATCCTTTGCCTTCTCCTTACTACAAAGAGAAACCAATGCACTTTGTTAGTTAAATTTGTATCGAAAAATTGATAGATGGAATATTAAAAACTAATGAAAATAAGCAGTGAACCAATATTGTTATATCAGTAATTCTTGTTTTAAAAAATTGATGGAACAGTGAAAAACAATGAGAATGAAAAGAGAAAACCAGAAAAATGCAAAGATAGAAAGAAAAGTTTCGATTTCTGTATAAATTCATTACCTTCCCATAAAAGTCGCCAATAACTCATGATGTGATTCAGTCACACGTGCATGATCAATCTGGTCCAAAGAAGCGTGTGAATGTTGCCCCATGTACACCACATAGGGCTACAACAAAAATAAAATATGAAAAAATCAGAATATTATCAGATTATAAAGTGAAAAAAATAAGAATTACCCACTAAAGATCCATATAAGAAACACTGAGAAATGTTAACAGAAGTGGTAGAAATGGCCACGAAAGTACTGCAACAGAGGTGAAGAAATAAAAACCCAATGCAATAACATTCAAAATGATTGAATAAAAAAACAAAGATAAAATGAAGAACCCAATGCAATGCTCACCTTTTTAAGGGCAAATCCGGAGTAAAAGAGTGAGAAACACAACCCCAAAAGGCAGAGAGATGCTTTGTTTCCTGCCATTGCTACAGCTCAAGGATCTGCACAGAAACCCAAGGGCCACTCTGTTATATATAATATATATTGTGTCTCTCTCTGAAAGAGATTTCTTTTTGTTTTGTGAGTGCACTCCATTTTATAAATGGAAAGGAGTAGAGCATTTCTTTAACACATTCATCCTTGCACAGGGATGATAGGCATAAAATAGTAAACTTGCTGTTTAAATAAATGGCAGTTTAATGTCAATGCATCAGTTACCACTTTTGGGCTTCCTCTAGGTTCAAAAACGATTATTTTAACAAAAAAATACGATGTTTTATATTATATTCTATAAAATTCGAAAAATAATTTTTAACTTTCTATCAAAGTTGAAAATGTATCTCTTAGAAGTTCTATCCTCCTCTTACTATCCAGCCGTCCAATTTTGTTCAATAGAGCCACTCACCATTTAATATTAGATCCGACGTCTCAAATTATTTTACTTTTAGTTTTTTTTATACAACTTGTATGAATATGAAATTTGGTACGTGCCATCTTCTCAGGGGCACACTTATAAAAAATATTCAAAATAATTTTTCGATAAAATATAATGATCAAAATACCCCTTAGAAATTTTTAAGGGTATTTTGGATATTTTATTTTATTGAAAATATTTGTTTTTTATATTTTTCGCTAGTGCGAGTTTAATAGAGAAACAGGCGTCCAAAATTTGGTGTCAAAATAGTTTATAGAAAAAAATTAAAAATAAAATAATGTAGAGACGTGACATTGTGATTGGGACAATCTTAACCCTCCATTCAAAATGGACGGTTGGATAACGAGAAAGATAGAACTCCTATGTTACAAGCGAAGCATAGAAAGCTTGCCCATTAATTATTGCAACTCCTTTCCGAATGGTGCTCTTTTGATTATAAATTGGGCTTTGGATTTTTGAGTTATTCCAACATAGCCCCTAGTAGTTGGCGGTTAATTAGATCTATTTGAATCCTAGAAAAACTTCTTTCCAATTTTTTGTTGGGGGTTCTACTTAATCGTTTGAGTATTTTTTGGAAACCCAGTAGTTTTTAATAGAAAAAAACCTTAATTCTCTTTTTCTATATTTTTGAAAAAAAATTTACCCTATGGTCATTAGGTAGACCGGGTCCCATTGGATGGAGATAACAAATGGTCACGTTTCACTTAGGGTTTTCGAAAACATCAATTCGGATCAGAATTGCCTGATATGGATTGAGAATCAATGGGACTGGTCTAGTTCCCACCATATTTCATGAATAAAGCCGGTTTATATTAGGACCCAAGCATAGAACCAGCCGGACAGAATTGGTTGGTCTAGTTAGATCACCAATCCATACCAATTTGCCAATTTAATTCGGTTTTCCAGATGAGCGATCTTGGTCACCTATAAGTTCTTTTAAAACACTTCCACATTAACAATATTTGGTAAAGCCACACCTCAAAATCCCATTAGAAAATGTAGCACGAACAAATTTGAAACATAGATGGTCCAAAATAATTGTTTTAATATAATTTTTGAGGCATTTGGTTCATTTTTCCTATCTATAGTTGTTGAGGTCGAAATTATTGTTTCACAATTTTTCTATTTTCACCATATGAGATTTAAGCATGCACGTACCCCGTATTCCATTATCATGTTTATTCGTGTTTTAAATATTATCTTTTAAGAGTACCAGATATCCACAATGGTGTTTTAATACTAAACATTATATTTTATAAGAATTTAGTTTAATATTAATGAGATTTGTCCAATCACGATGACACATTTAGCAAATCAAAAGTTAGTTGATTCTGCAAATCAAAATAGTAATGAGATATACTATTTCGAGAACTTCTTTAACACTTTTTTCACAAAAAGTTTTTTATTTAGACAATAAAATCCCTCTTATATAGTGATATCACACAAAAGATACATATAAAAATCACGATAAAAGAGGAAGATAAGATAACAAAATATATTTACTAAGTTACTCTCGCTGAATTCAACGTTTCTATTCAACTCGGCTCACAGACATTTAGGCCGAGTCTTTCGAGCTTTGACCTTTGAAATATCCAGAAGAAGAAGTTAATAAAGACTCGAGAGTAAGCCTTTAACCTGTCAGAATGGGCCGAGTTCTTTGAAAGGAGTTTTGCTCTATAAAAGTATAGGAAAATTACGCCCAACCAGTGATACTTTTGGGGTGTTAAGTTAATGGTCCAATTTTTCTCATATTTTATGGGAAGGTCCTTTTCTTTATATTTTTATTTTATTTTTCTAATTTTGTGCCTCATGGGAAGGTACCTATCTTTTATATTTTTATTTTATTTTTCCAATTTTGTGCCTCAGTCAGATGTTTGTAATATCGGTTTTTGTTTATTTTATTTTATTTTATTTTAATCTTTTTTATTTGGCATGTAAGGCTATCCAAATATTCCAAATATCAACTAATCCTATAGTTAGCATCATGATATTTGGAACATTGAGTCGCATGATATGTGAAAGTTTTAAGTAAGCCTAACAATTCGATATTCCAAACATCAGATAGCTCACTGGACAAGTGGTTTGGTGTTATATAAATTGGATCTTGGGTGTGTCATTAACGTATAGATCATGACTGAAAAATTTTGAAGTATGGAAATGACTGATATTAGTGAATAGTGTTGGGTTTATGTGGCCTTTATAGGCCTTATGAGAGCTTGTATGATCATTTTATATAGTGGAACATAAACTCAGTGGGAGTGTGGTCCATTTGTGGACTACACTAGTCAAATGTTATTTGCTGATACTCGGATTAGGCTCGACGAGCTAGGCCAGCTGAGGTTTGTAAAAAGCCAAAATACCTGAGCATAGGGATCGATCGAGAAGGGTTTAGTGGGTTATCCCTTGATGAGGTCGGAGTATGCCCAGATGAGAGACAAGAGACTGTTTGGCCCTTGCATGTGATGAATAGACTTTAGAGACAGGACTACAACCTCAACGTTATATCATCACATAGTATGTACATAGATAGCCGTTTTGAGATTCACCAATGAGGGTGAAGCGTGTACATGTGCAAGAGATTACCCATATGCACCATAGAATCATGGTTGCATCCTGGTTTGGAGGACGATGATATGTGTCTTTAGGGGAGAACCTGAAATCCATAAACTGAGATTGCGTCCTCTAGTCTATTGGCTGACTTTGGTGGTCCAATCATGAGCCCCCGCAGTGGACTATGGGTCAGGGAAACTGCTAAGTCAGTTTGAGAAAGCTAGGCAGATCATGATTTGTAGTTGAAGGTGGAGTGCTCACATGTATTGATAATTTCCTAGATCTAACGCATTCGATTCCTATTAAAAATAATTAATTTTATGTTATGTGATTTTTATAATGTTTATTTGAATTTTTGTGAATCTTCTAATATTTTATTTTTGTCATTTGGATTTATAAATTAACACGTAATATTCTTGGGAATAAGGCTTATCTTTTTAGGTATAACCAATTTATGTGATAAGGTTGAATATTTGAGATATTTACTAAATCTTTGAATCAATATTGGTTGATTTAATAATTAAGGATTTGATATATTAAAATATAAGTTTTCTTTATTTGATGAAATAGATTTAAGAAAGGGAAGATAAGGCTTCAGCTCATGGCTCTAGCTCATCTCTTTGAATCTTGATGATGGTGGATCAAAGAAATGATTGCTCAAATCTCTCACCCTATAAGTCTCCTTAAATCGACGGTTGAGATTTGACCATACGAATTGAAGAAAAATTTATGGCATAGAAAATCTATAAAAGAAGGTTTTTCCTTATAAAATAAGATACGTATTCTCTTCTCTCTCTTTAATAATTCTCTCCCCATATCCCAAAATGTAGCTCTCTAGAAAGGGCCTTAGATTACCAAAGCGAGACATGTCCCAATTTTTATCTTTCTCCAAGTTGCACCATGTTTTGGTGGCATGCATCACCTCTGTCATTTATGGGTGGCAAAGGGGTGGAACCCTTTGCTAGTAGATCTCCCCTTCTCTCTTCATATTCATCTCTCATCTTTCTAAAATCAAGTTAAGAAGCTTAGTCAAGATTAACCCATTGAGCAAATTTTTTCTATAGTAGGGAAATCAACCTACCGATCATAGATCTCGAGTACCATCGGAACGAGGAGACTCGGCGTGGGGTGTACGAAGTCCGGTTGAGGTAATCTCTGACAATTTTACTTTTTAAAATATTTTACTTCTCTTCCCATAAAGCAATAAAGTCTAGTTTTGTTCCTTGAATAAAGAATTGTATTTGAAGATGTAGCAATTGAGAACCGATTTTATTTTTATTTTATTTATTTCAAGAGTGGTTCGATTATAATTGGACATTGTAAGTGATCTTGTTGGTGTAGGGGAAAAGGATTTTTTTTTATATCTACACCGTGCTTTTTCATAAAGTACTTTCATTATTATCAGAGCAAAGTTGATATTTGAAGCCATTAGATGTTTTTTCCCTTTATTGAGTTGAGATCAAGCTTGGAAACGAGATGTAAGAAAGCTATTAATCTTTGTGGTAAAGTAATACACCCTGGTTAAGAATGATAGAAATATTCAAAACACCGAGAAAGACACGTTACAGAATGAGTAATTTGCGCTATTTTGGAGTAGACGATAGTGATATATTTCTCTATTATATACTTAAGTGATTTTGTGTATCTTTGAGAGTAGGATATATTTATAAAATTTCAGTAGGAGATCCTAAGGGAATTAATAGTTATGGACTCATGATTGAAGGGTGCCAGTTTTGACCCTACAAAATTTAGGAACTGTCTATTGAGTTCCGTGATTTTTCCTACCAACGATATGATTTTATTTATTGTTGAAATTTTACTGTGACTCATAAAATTGAGTCTACTTTCAAAAAAAAAAAAAAATTCATCAAAAAATTATCTGTGATTTGAAAGATATAATCGATTTATTGAAGGGTGTGCAAGTGTTGTTTTCTGCAACAAAAATTATTTCTATGACTTGGAAGTCAAGATTTTATTTCTATTCTTAACATAATATTTT